TTTCTTTAGCTGTTAAACTTTTGCGGCTGCCCTTGCATTTGTTCTCAATTGACAGTCCTCAATTGGCCGTCCTCAGTGTACGTGGCAGCATGTGCTTGCAGAGAAGTGGGTAAATAGAGTCTGAGTCCTGCTTATTGAGAAGCTGCTCAGGAGCCTTTGGGTTGGGTCAGTCCAGAGGCGCCTGTCTTCCTGGCACTCTGGATCCCCATCTGTGTCTCAGCCACCACCCCCTCTACTGCCAGATTTGACCAGGGCAGAGGGGTTGGAAGAAGATAACATTTGTAGACAACCTGATGCATCAGGATATGGAGGTATCTGGACAGTTGGCAAGGAGTTTGGGGTTGAATTATGATGTAAAAAAGCAAGCAAATGAAAAACCGAACAGTTATAAATGTACCAGGGAAGGAAAGGTATTCATAATCTTCCATGGCCGACTGAATAGTGCCTACCCCTTCCCTTCACCCCCTCCCTAGCACCTTGACCTTGGTGTTACAACATCCCTTCTAATCCATGCATATTTGTTTGCCTCCCATTGTTGAATTGGGGGCTGTTTTTAAATATCATGCAGTGATCCTGTTGAAAGCCAGTTTTTCCTCCATATTTTTGAGTTCAAAACAGACTTGAGATTGGATCTCCTTACTGGCCAGCCACCAAAAAAAAAAAATACAGTCAATTATCCTGTATTGAGATGATATGTACTTCGAAAATAAGGGTTAGTTTAAGAAAATCATGCAATTTGGGCATTAACTTTAAAATTTGTTATGGTTTTTCTTTTTTGTGTCACAATGTTTTAGGTATTCTAGCCTTGTTTTATTTAGTGACTGCAATACTGTCCGAGGAAAATTAAGTACTATTTAAAACATTTTTAGATGATAATAGGTCACTTTCATTTTGTGAAATTGTGCAAAATTATTGAAATATGTTCTTTTTTCTGTTTTCCCCACATATTGTTTTAAAACAAGTGTTACAGAATACAAGCTGTATCAGTGTTTATTTTAATTCAAAGATTTTTACATTTATAATTTCTTTCTAATAAGGTATTCAAGGAGGCTGCCTGTCCTCCTGCTTGTCTGCTGAAGCCATGACATTGTAGTCACATTACAGTAGTATCTCCAGTGTGCTGGTTGGTGGGGGTGACTGGGAGCTCCAGCGTTAGTATAAAAGATGGGTAAAACCAATTCTGAAAGCTTTCTTTGAAACTAATTTGTAATTTTTCTACATGTTTTTAGCACAATGGACTCAATTTGTTATAATGTTCATTAAAAGGTTTTGCCTTTAAGTTGGTCCTCTTTGTTCCTTTTCACTACTGATTTAACAAATAAAAGTTGCTCATTAATATTTGTAACCACAAGGTTAATGTACATTTGTAAGTGTTATTACTTGCCCTGTCTTTGAAGGTGCTAGGTACTGGTTATATTGAACATTTCACAACTGTGCTGCCTATGTTCTAGCCACTGCTGAGGACAGTTCCCAGCCTCCACTGTGGAATTGTGGAGAGCATGCTTGCTTCTGGCACTGCAGTACCCTAACCTTCCTAGGAACTTGCCGTACTTCTCCAGTCCCTGGAGAGAGTGTCCAGTCGGCTGAGCCTAGCAGACAGGCTCTTGCGAAGAAGAGGCTCAGGAAGAGAGGAAGGAAGAGCCTAGCAGACAGGCTCAGGAAGTAGGTGGAAGGAACTGGCTTCTAGTGTGGGAGGCAGGCACTCCTGACGAAGACTTCACACCCTGCAGATGAAGCAGTTTTCTCAAAGGAAGCGGGAATTGTGTCCTCCTCTCCCCTCCTTTTTCAGGGAGTCTCTTGAACCTCTCTGTGCTGCTCTGCAACCACAGAACATTCTCTGTGGCATTTTCTGTCCTGGGAATGCTGAAGGGATCTAGAGGTCTCAATGTCCTTGCTCTGCCTCTTTTCCCTGGCACTTCAAGAAGTTCTGTTGCCTTTACTCTGTGAAAGGTTGCAAACTGGGCTGCTGCTTTGGAATGATTTTTTAACTGTGTGATATCTGGAGACATGCAGTAGTGACCATTTCTGCAGTTTCTACCCTCCATGCTTACCACCTTTCCCACATAATCACTCGTGTTTGGTTTTATTTGTGTTGTTTGTTGCTCTTTTTTTTGGTGGCTGGCCAGTGTGGGATCTGGGATCCAAACCTGCAACCTTATTACAAGGCTGTGCTCTAACCAACTGAGCTAACTGGCCAGCCCTGTTTGTTGGTATTAAAGTTTAAGATGTGTGAAGAGTTTAGGAATCAGGTGGCTGCTATTACTCTTCAGTCCCAGAAACTTGACACATTTTGATGCACTGAGGTTTTGAATTTTTTATATAGTCAAATCTATTGATCTTTTATAGTATTTTTCAATTTAAGTTTACAAAGTTAGGTTACAAATATTTTCCTCTACTTTTTCCCCCGCTTTAGCTTAAGATGTATTTTTAAAAATCAAATACTTGCACACAGCTAAAAATTCAAATGGGGCTAGAATGCTTATAATAAAAACTAGCAGCTCAAGCTCCCTGCTTCTCTACCCCACCTCTGATTCCCACTTACCAGAGCAACCTCCCTCACCTTTTCTGCTGTTCTCTTATTTCCCTCCATACTTCTCAATAAG